AGCGCCTTGTCCGCTGGGTTTATGGACCGGGGGAGCTGGGGGGCGTTTAGGTGCGCGTTGTGCTGGGCAGCGGGGGCCGGGTAAGCCCGTTACCTGCCGGGTAACCCCGGGGAGAGCCGTGGCATGGCTGTGGGGCCTGTGCTCTCTGGGTGTCTCAGGTTTTGCTTTGAAATTCCAAACCCTTTCCCCGTGCAGGGTTATGAGGCAAAGACTGCTTTAACTTGGTTTTTTTGTGCTGCGTTAATGCTTTTTGCTCGTTCTGTGTCCATTTGCAGCCTCGCTCGTGGTTTCCCCTGGTGTGGAGGCGAGTTGTGCTTCCTGCTGGGAGAGAGAACAGCCTTGGGAAGCTGCTCCATGACCCACAGCTGTGCTGAGCCCGGCAGTCTGTCCAGGTAAGAGCAGGGCTTATACTCCCAGTGAGGAGCTGGGGTTTGCTGTTGGAAGATAGAATGTGCCCATGCCTTTAAATGCAAGGACAGGCAGAAGCTGGGAGGGACCCTGAGCAGGTTTGGTGGAGGTTTTGGCCTCCAAACCTCCAGGTTTTGAGGCCGCCATCTTAAGTGTGGCCTTGGCTAAGTTCCGGTCCTGGTGGCGCCATCTTGAGTGTGGCCTCGGGGCGGACTTCTGGGCCACGGCCGCCATCTTTGGTGGGGTCTCGGCACAGTTTGAAAAGACCTTGACTGTGGGGGAAGTGTCCAGGAAAAATGATTCCTTTTTTGCAGGGAGGCAGTTTGCAAGGACAGGTGGGTTGCTATGCTCTTTAGCAAAAATACTCCCCTTGGGATGTCCAGGGTGAGGAAATGTTGGCCATGTGTGGGCTGGAGCAAAGGTGTGTGGGTGCCTGAGTGTGACACCCGTGGGTGTGCAGGAAGGGGGTTCTGGTGCCATTGGAGCTGCCAGGGAGCCAAAAAGGGCACAGTTGTCTGAAAAAGGCAAAATGTTTTAGCCTCTGTTGACACCTGTACCAAAGGAGATGCAAATTTTCCCTTTCTCATCTGCAGACTTCACAATGCTCCCCAGGAAAGGAAGCTTTAGATTCCTCCCCAGCTTTATGCTAAAGGTTTCCTTCCTCCTGTCTCAGCACCCTTTCTGCTGTTGGGAGAGCACAAGGTGGATGGAGAGGATCCCCAGGCATCTGCAGGCACAAGGGACTCATACAACTGCGATTTTCCTATGCCCCTTGTGAAAGGGACTTTCAGGATACTCTTGGGAATGTGCCAGCTCTCCTGCTGAAGCTTTTCTATGGAATATTTGAACACAAAGAGTAAAACTAAAATCAGGTCTGTTCTGGAGTATGTTACACTTGTGCAAAGCTCCTTTCCTCTGTTTATTTTCTGTTCTGGAAAGAACAATCTGGGGTTCCTGGGCACTTCCTATTGAGTCATTCCATGAAAATAATTTTATCCTGAAAGCGGAAAGGAGCTGTCTGTGGAAGGTCAGACGTGCATGATAAAAGCTTTATGCTTTTCAGACAGTAAAGTCTTAAAATATATAGCAGAGCTATATATGGCAATGAAGAGGATTACACTCAAATGCAAGGTTTTTAAATTTAATAATTTTGTGTGCTGTGTCGGTAAGGTACTTTTGTAATTTGTTATCTTGTTTTCTTTTCCTTAGGAGCCTTGTGTCTTTTGAGATCTCCTGATCATTTCAACTGCAGCTTGGTATTTTTCCACAAGTGTTATCCCATCCTGAGGTGAAGCTGCTCTGTGTTGAGGATGGCTACAGACACCTAGGTTTGCAAGTAGTCAGTGGGGGGTTACAGCCCAGAGATGGAGCAAGGGCTTGGGTGTCAGCTTAGGAATTGCCAGGGGTGTTTTGAAGGTAGTATGGGTAGAAAGCAGTGTCCAGGAGCCCCCTAAATGCCTGTGAAGGCACCCACTGAGTTTTCAGATGTGCCACTTAAGTTTTCCTCTCGTTCACCCAGATATTCTGCGCGATTACAGCTGCAGTCTTTGGCTGCAGGCAGTGACCCTGGGTGGTTTGCCTGAAGAGAAGGGAGACTCTTTCAGCTCTCCCCATCTGTCTGGGTGACTTTGGTTAGGGTTTCTTTACCGTCTCAGGGGAACAGGATGTAAAGCAGAGTTGAACAGAACAGAGGCCAGAGGAGCAGAGCAAGAAGGTGGGTCATCACCTGACATCAGCACAAAGATGTGGCTTTTGGCTCCACGTTTACTCGCTGTGTTAAGGATTTTGTTGTTTGGGTTTGTTTTTTCTTTGTTTTCAGATGCAGAGCCCTGGCCCCAGGAGGCTCTAGGCACCGGAGGGGAGGTGATCTGGGTGAGTCCCGGTGAGCAAGGTGAGCATTGACTCCAGGACAGAAGTAAATGGTCTTTTACAGGTGTTGTGGTGAATCTGTGCACATGCTTTGTTTGTTGTGTTTTCCAGGGGTTCTGCCACCTTCTAACAGACAGTCCAGTGCTTCAGGGCCCCTGCTGGTAAGAGGTCACTGTGGAGGAGAGGTAGGTAGGAGCTACCCCAGGAAAGCCATCCTTTCAGGCAGTATCTCAGTGTGTACATTTGCCTTTGGCTTTTTTACTTTGCAGAGAATGTGTGCAGCCTCAGAGGGCTGGAGCCACCTGCCAGTTAGGTTTGATGGTCTTCAGCTGTCCTTGTGAGTAATCTCCTAATACTACGAGGGTCATCAATTAAGGCTGGACCTTTTCCAGTTGCAGGTGCCATCCAGCCTGTGTTTGGCAAAGGAGGAGCATTGAGGTTGAGTCAGGGAGGTAGTGAGGAGGTGCTGGGGTCTCCCTTACTTTCAACACTTTTTTTCTCACTCCCCTAGGTACGGCACACGGTGATGGCAGCAGCCTCCGACTGGGGTCGGAGCCAGTGGCCCGAGAAACTCTCAGGGGATGGTGAGTAGCCAATTGCGGGGTTATCTCCCACGTGCTGCTGAACTCTTGTCTCAATTCCAGTTTTCTTTCTCGGAGCCGACCGAGTCAGGGATCACAGGACCCTCTGAGCCAGCCAGGTGTCCTTCCTTTACATGGAAGATGGATTCACATCCCCAGCTGTGGGAAAGATAAGTGGAGGACTAGCACCTGGAGAGGGGATGAGAACTGGGTCCAGTTTTATGGTTAGGAGGGAGGGATTTTCAAATGAGCACAGGGGAAAGGGTCTGCCCTAAGAGGCCCTTGGCACACATAGGAGGAGCAGTTTACTTTTCATCACTGGAGTAGAATGTGCAGGGCAGAGGTGTTCAGGTCTGTGTCGTGTCCTTTGTTCAGTCTGTGTTTTGTGTCTTAAAATTCACAATCACGGTGTCCTTTCTCAGAGTTCTCTCTCCTCGTTGCACCAGAGCACTTGTCGGGAAATGTGTCCTTGGAGTTTGTGTTGGACCTGGAACTGCTCTACCCTGCAGTGCAGACTTGGGGGTAGGTGGAGTAGAAAGGAGACTTTCCAGTTAACCTGTGGATAGGCTTAGCCACTGAGGGCAGGACCTTAAAGTTAGGTCAGTATTTGTTTGTGCAGGCTGTGTTTGGACCCCAGATGGCTTGTCTAAGGAGAAATTAGAATTGCACAGCAGTTAAGGTCCCTCCATCTATATGACTGACTTTGGTAACTCATTTCTATGCAGCGTCAGAGGGGCTGGATGTAAAGCAGAGATAAACAGAAGAGGCTGGAGGAGCAGAGTCAGAAGGTGGGTTCTCATGTGAGGTCAGAGCCAAGACATGACTTTTGGTCCTAGGTTTACTTGATCATTTGGATGGTTTGGTGGTTTAGTTTTGTTTTTTTGTTTTTTTTTCCCAAGATGCAGAGCCACCGGCCCAGCAGACGATAGGCACTAGAGGGAAGGTGAGCCTGGTGAGGAAGGTGAGCAGGGACTGCAGGACAAAATTAGATGCTTTTTTGCAGGCGGTGTACTTGTGGTGAATCTGTGTACATACTTGTTTTTTTGTTTTCCAGGCAGTGCACCGACTTCTGACGTACAGTCCAACGTGATGGGGACCCTGCCTGTAAGAGGTCACGGGCAAGGGGTGTCAGACAGAAACTGCCATGGGGGCAGCAAACTCTTGGGCAGTATCTCAGTACTCACATTTGCCTCTGGGGGTTTTTTTGCAGGAGATGTAGACAGCCTGACAGGGCCGAAGCCAACTCACAATGAGGAGATGGACACGGTTTGGTCCCCTGGAGCTGTCCTTGTAGGTAATCTCTGAGTATTAAAAGGATCAGCAATGAAGCACTGAGCTTTTCTGATTGCAGGTGCCATCTGGGTAACCTTTGGGAGCAGATGAGCATTGGAGGTGAGTCAGGGAGGCAGCAGGAGGAGCAGGGATCCACTGCAGCTTTAGAAATGCCCTCTAATTGTTTCTCTCTCTCGCTCAGGTATCCCAGAAGATGACAGCACATTGTCCAAGTCTGGTCAGAGCCAGTGACATGAGGACCTGCCTCGGTGCCAGTGAGTAGAGGAATCGTCGGGGCTGGGGCCATGTGCCACACCACTCAGATATGGTGTCTGCTTTTCTTTCTTAGAGTTGACTCCGAGTACTCTCCGGATGACAGGAACCTCTGAGCCAGCCCAGGTGCCCCTCCTCTGCATCAAATATGGATTCACATCCCCGGCTCTCGGAAAGATAAGTGCAGGGCAAAGACCCAGAGAGGGGCTGGGAGTCGGTGCAAGTATGTGCATCGCCTGGAGGGATTTTTGCAATTAGTATGGTGCAATGGGTGTCCTGTAGCAGGTTATTTAGAGACCTCAAAGGAAGGGCTTACTTTGTATCATTGGATTCCCATGTGCAGGGCAGAGCAGTTCCGGTCTGTGTCACGTCCTTTGTCTCCTCCATGTTTGTGTCCTTCGTCTCTTAATTGTGTCACATGGTGTGTGTCATCACAGGTATGGGGTGTCTCACTTGGGGTCAGCCTGGAACTGCTCTGCCCTGCTATGTGGATCAGTGGGTAGATGGAATATTGCTCAGGGTCCCACATCAACATGTCAGTTGCCTTAGTCAGTCGAGCCAATGGCTGTACTGTCCTGCTGGATGGAGCAGGTGTCCATAACTCGTGTGCAATCATTATAGCTGAGTGTTGTGGAGCTGATGGTACTTGGATAGCAGGGCCTTGAAGCTGGGTTGTCACTTGTATTCTTGTATGCTGCAGTCAGAGTTCTCACTCACTCAGTGGAAATGAGTTCTTTGAAGTGGTTAAGGTCTCAGTGACCATGTGGGTGACCTGATTAACCCTTTGTTTGTTTGTTTGTTTTTTTCTTTTCAGATAAGTGGACACAGTGTACCCCAGACGGAGACGAGTTGAAGCAGCCTGGGAAGAAGGTTGTCTTGGGTGTTGGATGAAGGATGTCAGTTTGAGCCATAGGAGTCCTTTATCTTGTGCCTTTTTTTTCTTTATTTTCCAGATGGGGCCCAATCGGTCTCGAGGTGTAGCGGCTCAGCAGGGAGACGAGCGAGGTGAGAATTTTACTCCCCAGTCGAATTTGGAGTTAGTTTTAGGATGTCATCTATGTGGTCAATCTCTGCATACATGTTGTAACTGTTTAATTTTTTTTCTAGGCGATGCACAACCCTTTACCCGTCTGCTGAAGGTGCTGAAGGTCCATCCGATCAGAGGTCAAGCTAAAGGAGCCCGAGATAGCCAGTATGAGGCAGTACATCAGCACAAGCCTCCATATCTGGGTTGTCTTGCAGCGGCCGTCTGTCCACTTCACAGTGTGTAGCAACGCTTCGGCGTGCAGTCTGATGGGGTTTAGAGGTTTTTGGCTTTCCTTGTGAGCCATCCCTAAATGTTTGAGAGCTCAGTGTTTGAGCATTTGCCCATTTCATTTGCAGGGGCGATCTTGGGAGCAGCTGAAGAGAGAGGAGCCTTCTAGGTGATTTGGGGAGGCAGCAGGAGAGGAGTGGGGATCCACTGCAGCTTTAGAGATGCCTTCGAATTTTGTGTCTCACTCACTCAGGTATCACGGAAGGTGACAGCCACAGTGTTGGACTCCGGTCAGGGCCTCGGTGATGGTGAGTAGGGGGATCACTGGGGTTCCAGCCCTGTGCCACACTACTCAGATATTGTGTATGGTTTTCTTTTTCACAGTTGACTTCGAGTACTCTCATGACAACAGGAACCTCTGCACCAGCCCAGGTGCCCCTCCTGTGCATTGAAGATGGATTCACAGCCCCGGCTCTCAGAAAGATAAGTGCAGGGCAAAGACCCAGAGAGGGGTTGGGAGTCGGGGCAAGTATGTGCATTGCCCGGAGGGATTTTTGCAATTAGTATGGTGCAATGGGTGTCCTGTAGCAGGTTATTTAGAGACCTCAAAGGAAGGGCTTACTTTGTATCATTGGATTCCCGTGTGCAGGGCAGAGCAGTTCCGGTCTGTGTCATGTCCTTTGTCTCCTCCATGTTTGTGTCCTTTGTCTCTTAATTGTGTCACGTGGTGTGTGTCATCACAGGTATGGGGTGTCTCACTTGGGGTCAGCCTGGAACTGCTCTGCCCTGCTACGTGGATCAGTGGGTAGATAGAATATTGCTCAGGGTCCCACATCAACATGTCAGTTCCCTTAGACAGTCGAGCCAATGGCTGTACGGTCCTGCCGGATGGAGCAGGTGTCCATAACTCGTGTGCAATCATTATAGCTGAGTGTTGTGGAGCTGATGGTACTTGGATAGCAGGGCCTTGAAGCTGGGTTGTCATTTGTATTCTTGTATGCTGCAGTCAGAGTTCTCACTCGCTCAGTGGAAATGACTTCTTTGAAGTGGTTCAGGTCTCAGTGACCATGTGGGTGACCTGACTAACCCTTTGTTTTTTGTTGTTTTTTTTCAGATAAGTGGACACAGTGTACCCCAAACTGAAAAAAGGTGAAGCAGCCTGGGAAGAAGGTTGTATTAGGTGTTGGATGAAGGATGTCAGTTTGAGCCATAGGAGTCCTTTATCTTGTGCCTTTTTGTTCTTTATATTCCAGATGGGACCCAATCGATCTCGAGGTGTAGCGGCTCAGCAGGAAGACGAGCGAGGTGAGAATTTTACTCCCCAGCCGAATTTGGAGTTAGTTTTAGGATGTCATCTATGTGGTCAATCTCTGCATATATGTTGTAACTGTTTAATTTTTTTTCTAGGCGATGCACAACCCTTTGCCTGTCTGCTGAAGGTGCCGAAGGTCCATCCGATCAGAGGTCAAGCTAAAGGAGCCCGAGATAGCCAGTATGAGGCAGTACATCAGCACAAGCCTCCATGTCTGGGTTGTCTTGCAGCGGCCATCTGTCCACTTCACGGTGTGTAGCAACGCTTCGGCGTGCAGTCTGATGGGGTTTAGAGGTTTTTGGCTTTCCTTGTGAGCCATCCCTAATGTTTGAGAGCTCAGTGTTTGAGCATTTACCCATTTCGTTTGCAGGGGCGATCTTGGGAGCAGCTGAAGAGAGAGGAGCTTTCTAGGTGAGTTGGGGAGGCAGCAGGAGGAGCGGGGATTCACTGCAGCTTTAGAGATGCCTTCGAATTTTGTGTCTCACTCACTCAGGTATCCCGGAAGGTGACAGCCACAGTGTTGGACTCCGGTCAGGGCCTCGGTGATGGTGAGTAGGGGGATCACTGGGGTTCCAGCCCCGTGCCACACTACTCAGATATTGTGTATGGTTTTCTTTTTCACAGTTGACTTCGAGTACTCTCATGACAACAGGAACCTCTGCACCAGCCCAGGTGCCCCTCCTGTGCATTGAAGATGGATTCACAGCCCCGGCTCTCAGAAAGATAAGTGCAGGGCAAAGACCCAGAGAGGGGCTGGGAGTCGGGGCAAGTATGTGCATTGCCCGGAGGGATTTTTGCAATTAGTATGGTGCAATGGGTGTCCTGTAGCAGGTTATTTAGAGACCTCAAATGAAGGGCTTACTTTGTATCATTGGATTCCCGTGTGCAGGGCAGAGCAGTTCCGGTCTGTGTCACGTCCTTTGTCTCCTCCATGTTTGTGTCCTTTTTCTCTTAATTGTGTCACATGGTGTATGTCATCACAGGTATGGGGTGTCTCACTTGGGGTCAGCCTGGAACTGCTCTGCCCTGCTATGTGGATCAGTGGGTAGATAGAATATTGCTCAGTCTCACATCAACATGTCAGTTCCCTTAGACAGTTGAGCCTACGGCTGTACAGTCTGTGAGCAGGATTGTCTTGCGATGCCCTGCTTGGGTGTATAGAGTCACAGCTAGGTAGAGTAGCAAACAGTGTCTATGGTATGGGCATTTGTCAGGGGTCTTTGGGCTTATAAAATGTATAGACTCAGTTTGGGGGTAAATCCAAGGTCACAGAAGGCACACTTCAGAGTCCCTTCCCTTTTGTCTTACAGCCACCCAAAGGAGACTCAGGTTCCTGGGGTGAAAGACGGCATCGGTTTTCCCGGAACTTCCGGCGACTGGGGAGAGATCGTCCGAGTGATCATCGATGGAAACTTCTGAGAGCCACCGGGAGTCCCTGCCCAATGACTTCTGGACTGCATCGTGTAGCATCATATATGTTTATTTAGTGTTGCAGGTTGCTTCTTAGGCGTAGTTATTGTATTTTACAACTAGAATAGGAAAAGTCCAGCCGCCGTTTATGTTGTCATTTGGATTGCCTTGTACCACTCTGTGTCATACACTGTATAGTTGGAGTCGTATCGGTCCGTATCTGAACGTCACGGCGTTGCGTTCCGTGTGTCAGGAATTGTATATCATTGCGCCTTTGTTTGTAGCAGTTTTTATGTCGTGTCACTTGTATTGCCATGTAATGTTCTGTCTGGTATACTTCTATATTTGCAATTGTATTGCTCTGTATGTGAATGTCATAGTGTTGTATTGCTGTGCATCAGTTAGGAATTGTATAGCTTTGTACCTTACTTTGTTTTGCTTTTGATATTCTGCCATTGATACTGTCTTGTAATGCTGTGAGGGGTGTGCTCGGGCATGAGCGGCATGCGTGTTTTGTCAGGCTTGGCAATTTGTTTCTTTTTGGAGTTTTTTTTTGAGGCTCCACGGGAACCACGTTCCCAAGGGAGCGTTTTGAGCGTGTGCCGATATTCAGGGTTGGCTTGCGGCTTTGGGGTATGGTGGAGGTGTGGCAATGCAGGGGATGGGTGTGTGTGATGTAGTATTCTAACCTTGTGTTTGTTTCTCTTTCAGGATTTTTTCCACCATTTTAGCTTTAGAATAAAAAAACCCCAACTAGGGGATTTTTTCTTCCCCCCCACCGCTGGGGTTTTTTTTCCTAGGTCCCGACCAGTCTGCGAGGTGATGTTCATCGCCAATGTTTGGGCACAGGCCGACCTGGGACCTGGGTTTTGTCAGGCAGGATGATTTTTTGATTTTTGAGGCTTCCCGGGAACCCCGTTCCCAAGGCAGCATTTTGAGCGTACGCCGATATTCAGGGCTGGCTTGCGGCTTAAGGGAGTGGTGGAGGGGTGTGTGTAATGTAGTATTCTAACCTTCTGTTTGTGTTGTTTCTCTTTCAGGTTGTTGT